GCCTGCAGGTTGTGTTTTCACAGGCCTTATCAAGAAGCTATTTTTTCAGAAACAGGTTTCACTTTGCATTAATAATGGTAAATCTGACAGACCGCCAAACGCTGTAAGGCTGAAGGACTTCAAAGGAGAATAAAACGCCTTATTGGCATGCAAGCTTTCATGTAATGATTCCTCAAGTGTGCGCTGTGATCAATATTTAACAAAGCTCTAATAACGTCAAAGTGCCTCAATATAAGAGTGGGGGAGTACGGTTTAAAATCATTCAAAAAATGCAGAGGAACCCAAAGACATTCAAAGAGACTAAGCCACTTTTTAGATGGGAAACTATTTGGCAAAATCAGCACAAGCTAAAAAAAGATAAACAGGCTAGCAAATCAGGAAAAAAAAAAACAGAAGTGAGAGAAGCACTCTTTCACCAAGAGTGAAGAGAGGAAGGAAAAAAAAAACCATGGGTTTGTTGAAAGAAGATCTTTTCCAAGCAGTGTGTGCCATGATCAAAAGAATGCTAAATCTGGATGCTCAAATATCAGGCCGTTATTTTCCTTCGACGCTACCCGGCTTCAAACTGTCAAACACAGATTAAAGACAACACTTGCTCTGTTGGGTACAAAATCAATATGGCATAAACAGACAAAAATGAAGTTAACAAATAGACAATAACAATATAAGGTCTTGTGATTAGATTCCAAATCAAAAAAAGGGAAATGGAGCAGACAGAAGTAAAAATATGGCTGTTTGGCCAGCAGATGAACAGAACGGACCCACATGGGGAGAAACTGGAAAGCCTCCACGCGTTCTCAAGTGAGCCAGTCAGCTAACACCTTGGCAGACGGACAAGAGCAAAACTAATAGCAAAACAGACCTTAGACAGAGGCACAATCAATTACGCCGTCTGTGACGTCTGGCTGATTGTGCTCGTATGTGTTTCTGAATGAAGGAAGTGTGAAGTCTGCAAAGTATAATCATTCATGGTTGAAAGGGAGTAGCTCACTGCTATCTCTAATGGGATGTGCGTCTATCTGAATGCATCACTGACTGGATTGATGCCACGGAGCCATTCGTTGGTGAAATCACTTGAACAGGGACACAAAACAGTTTGTGTTTGATTCATGGCTGTTTTTGCAGTCATTCTGGAAGCACAACTCGAAAAGGCTTGTATGTGGAGCTAATATCCACAGTATTGCGGTGGAAAAGCACTGGCATTTGTGACTCTAGGTCAGATGAATGAGCTCGAATCAGTCAGGCAGGCACTGAACCAAATAGCGTAAGGGCTTGACATTCCCCCTCCCCTCCTCTTTCTTCCTCCTTTCCTGACCTGGTTCCAAAGCCATAGTCAACATGAAGGAACTGGGGTTTCTGAAACAGGAAGGTGGAAAGAAAAAGGCTGACTTGACTATGACACCCCCAACATGTCCACTGTCCCGCTGCTGGATGGTCTTCAGAGTGTGGCCCCCACCCCCTCCGAGTGCATCTGTTGAGGCTCAACGCCATAAACCCAGTAACAATAGTGATGATCTTAACAGACCTTTTCTGGGCCATCTGCCACAGAAGGAACAAAAGTCTGCCACTGTCCCCTGGTCACCCAAAACAGAAAACATTTGCTAGGAACAGCCTCTGAAAGTACAGTAGCACTTTTTAGCTACACTTCCACTATACACTCAAATACATAAACATATTGTCAATGCAAAGATGTGATGGGTCTATAAAAGTTCAGCCTGTCTAAACAAGTCCGATTTTATAGTAAGGATGCATTAAATTGTTTAAAAGTGACAGTAAAGATATTTGTAATGTTTCTATTTTATAAAAGATTTCTATTTCAAATAAATGTTCTGTTTTGAAATACATGTATCATGGTTTCCACAAAAATATTAAGCAGCACAACTGTTTTCAACATTTATCATAATAATAAGAAATGTTTCTTGAGCATCAAATCAGCATATTAGAATGATTTCTGAAGCATCATGTGACACTGAAGACTGGAGTAATGACTGCTGAAAATTCAGCTTTGCCATCACAGGAATACATTACATTTGAAAATATATTAAATAAGAAAATGGTTTGAAATTGTAATAATATTAGTGCTTTACTGCACTTTTAATCAAATAAATGCAGTCCTGCATAAGAGACTTCTTTAAAAATTTAAACTAAACTTTTCAATAGCAGTGTAAATTGAAAAAAAAGGTGTAGAAACACCCATATTTATGCAGAAATTGTTAGTAAATTAAAAGAAGATAAAAGTAGTTTGTAGTTAACTAAAAAAAAAAGTAGTTAACTGAAATAGCATTTTCTTGCTAAATATACTCCAATAATCTTTTTTGTTTTATTTACTACATCGAAACATGTGAATATGAAGTATAAAAATATGCACAAAAAAAAAAAGGTATTTTAAGCAACACATTGTTATATGCACAATTAATAATAATACAAACTATAATAACACTGGCAAAAAATGTGCTTTATTTTTTCGATACGGACATCACTGAAAAGAACTTGCATTTCAGAAAGTGAATCAGATGTTGATTAATTAATTGCTCTGATGGATTCAGCAACATTTAATTCAAACTGGTGACTCATCTTTTAAAATTGCTTATAAGAATAGGCACATAAGATTTGTTCAGAAATCAGACTACACTGGGCACGTTGTATAGTTCTGATTTAATTTCGATTTGCTGTAACATTATGTTTTTATTAAAAAAACAAACAGTGGAGAATAGATTTAAAATGTCCTTCCTCAGTTTTACTAACTACACACCAATATCCATGAAGCATTAAAACGCTTATTTATTGATATTTGTATGTACAGTTTATCAAAACTAATCTGTTTATGATAGTTGTTTGTATTATGCCTCCTACAATAAGGAAGACGCCTCTGAGTTTGTTGTCCTAGGGTCATATTTTAAAAATACAGAAGCTTAAACACATTAAACAGCGATGATCTATTTTTGGGACTAAACGCATTCAGGAATTAATCTCTCTGAATATACGCAACATCCCAAAGCAATACTGGCTGCTCTGCCTGCACTTTATTCCCAAAAGTCTGACCAAAATCTCTGACTACAATCTATTCACATGCTAACAAAAAACTCATTAATATACAACGTAGCCATTTAACATATGTAGGCAACCTGAGCATTGACATCACCAATAAGGAGGGGTCGATCTACATCCAGCTCATCACCCCTGAGGTCCTGGGGTGGATCAAGAGGCATCTTAAAAGCTTTCAACGGGATAATGCCATACAAAATGGGAGGTGTGTAAGTGGATAAAATGAGTCCATCATCCCCTCCAGCATACTCAAGAAGGGCAAAAACAGGGTCAGTGGCCATATGCAAATCAAAACTCTGTTAAGGGGGGAGGAGTGGCACCAGCTGTCCGACAGACAGACCTTCATCATATATAACACTGCGAGAACCAGGAATATGGCAGCCTGACATCTAGATCTTTGAACTCAGAAATGTGCTTCACAAGCCAAACACATCTGTTTTGTGTCTTAAAATGTGATGGTAGGGATTCCTTGCAAGGTACATAAGTACAAACTATACTTCAGAAAATAACAAGAAAAGATATTCTGGATTGGTTGATTAAAATCCAAATTCCAACTCTGCAAAAGCAATAAAAAACAACAACAAATACTACTTTAACTTCTTGAATGCTATGCCTTGTACTACATGAAGATGTGCAGTGATCACACACTGGAACGGGCCTCTGGTTTGTCAGATCTGAAATCTAAGAGGAAAAACGGAAGGCATCAAACAAAATGGTTATTTTGGTGGTTGGAACAGCATGTCAGCCTCAGCCAAGAAAGCACATCTGGGATTTTATTAAATGGGCTAAAACTGGTTCCTTAGTGTAAAGTTGTAAGGTCAAAAGTGTAATGACTAAAAAATTTGCAATTAAAATATGTTGTGTTCACTGAACCACTATGTGTCTAGAGACTGAGAGGCCTATGAAGCCTATGCAACTTGAGCCCAGACAACCTGATTTCCGTGAATCGGTTCTTTCGAATAGCTCGTTTCAATGAACTGGTTCACAAAGCGATTCATTGTCATGTTGTATATGGCATATTATTAATAATTATTATTTCATATTATAAATAAATTATCATTCTGTGTTATAAATAAGGAAGTTATTGTAAATGCGTGTGTCCATATTCCGTTCGTTTTAGACATGATTCAGCTAACGTAACATTAAAATAAATTAAAAATTAAATATACCGCGAGTTTGCATTAAACACTGCGAAAATTTATTTACATAACTCTAATGAAATATTTCGCTTGTTTTAATAGAATTAAATGCATTTCAATCTCCGAAAGAGGGGATTCTTGCGAGTTTGGGCATTTTTCAGTCATTACGAAACGAACAAGTCCGCAAGAAATGGTGTTCGGTTCAATGACTTGGCCTGTTGTCCGATTCGCAGTGGCACGGAGTTGAGAACCGCTGGAACCGATTCGTGAGCGAATCGTTCAAACCAGTTTTGCGTACAGGTTCGCAACCGATTCACTGAAAAGATCCTACTTAAAATAACGATTCATTCACAATTCCAACAAAGCTATCGAACGTGCCAATGAAGACCATTGAAGAACAAATTCCATTCGCTCGCGTCTATGATGCCCCAAAATGCTGTCTAGGTTGACAGCGAACGAGCTTTTAGACACAGCCAACCAGATTAATGGCAGAAGGACAGCGCTTCTCAGTTCCAAGATGTGAACTTCACAGTCTTTATTCTCACACGAGTACAGCAAAATGACCTTTCACATATATAAACTCATACCATTTAAGTGTAAATAAAACGGGAGGCCGCAGCAGTTCACGACACACTCCTCAACAACAGCAACCAAACTCTAAACAAAGACGTGTAAAACAACCATAAAACATCGACATAGCGGTTTTATCAGTGTAGTAACTAACGTTACATACCTGTGATATAACGCTAACATAATGTGCAATCCATGGAGTTCAATGTTTCAGTGTAAAAAATAAAAATAAACACAGCTACTTACTCTAGGTGAACAGGAGCAGAATGCCACAGCGCACGTTCCCAATCCGTCCCGTCTTCCTCTTTTATCTTAAAAATAAACACTATTTGCGCATTTTAAAAACTATACACGTCGGAGTGCATCATTTCTATCGACACAGATTCGGTCGGTGCGTTCATGCTGCGGCGCCTGAAATCCCACAGAAAGGGAACTAGCAGTGTGTTGTTGTGTGTTAGGATGAATCAAAGAGGTGGGAAAAATCGGTCACAGCCAGAATCTGTGTGTGAGGGAACAAAGAGCCACACAGCCGCCTAGTGGACAGAGAGCGGAATTACACCTGCTGAGTCAAATGTAAGACATCAAGGCGGCTGGGAAATGTTGAGAAAATGAATATAATTATGTATTTCTAAAGAAGAAAAATGTATGAATAAAATAAGACTGAATAAGTTTACATAACTTTACGTAAGTTATGTGACTGAATAAGTTTACGTAATTCATTTAAAGGCATAATTTACTCACCCTCATGTTGTTCCAAACCTGTATAAAGTTTCTACTTCTGTTGAACAACACAGTCTTCAAAATATCTCCTTTTGTGTTCAGCAGAAGAAAGAAACTCATACAGGGTTGGAACAACATGAGGGTGAGTAAATGATGACAGAATTTCCATTTTTGGTCCCTTTAAATCTACAAATTAATTACCTGTACATATTATGAAAGTATATTATTTACAAAAATTGTGTATGTATTGCCTAAATATCTGTTTGAAAATGAATATGAATATTTTGTTAAATGTCAGTTTATTAAAAATTAAAATATTACACTAAGTCTTATAAATATTTTTACATGTTTCTATTGTATTTAGGTGTTCGGTTTTCAAATGCATATAATTTCCAAACAATAAGTATACTTAAAATTTTATAAATGTTGTACTTAACCTGTATTTACAAATAAGTGATTATCTGCATTATAATTCTTAAAAAACATTGCAGACAACAAAGGACATCGAGCATTTAATTGTAGATTAATTGTAGATATCCCCCTAACACAATTCTTAGTATAATTTACATTTAGTATAACTGCTTAAAATTTATATGCATCAAGAATAATATATAATAACTCTAAGAAATTGTTCACAACTTTGATCAGCCATTTGATCATGGCATTAGCAGACAAGATATGAGAATTATAGTTTGTCATTCTGTATAGTGAGTGACATCCACAAATACCGAATGAGATGCATTTAAATCTATATGACATTCACGTGAGATATATAAGACACACGAAAGCTCCTATCTGCATCAATTATTGCTTATAATCAGATGCATAATGTATGCCGTATTCATTTTCATTAGTTTATAATGTTTTTGAAAGTAGTCCAGTCTTCAGTGTCACATGATCCTTCAGAAATCATACTAATATGCTGATTTGGTACTCAAGAAACATTTATTATTACTATCAATGCTGGAAAAATTTATAGAAAGTCTAAAAGAGCAGCAAGTATTTGAAATCTATCAAATGACAAAAGCAAAATTCCCTGCAAAGCATGGAGAGAATGAGGCAAATCATACTTGACAGTTTTCTTTTATTTAGACAACCCAAATAAAAGGCACATAAAACATTGCGCAATGGGTTTACATAATTATTCTTGACATACATTTAAAAAAAAAAAACGTAGGAATGTTTTCACCTTTCTGCTAACCAAAAAAAGCCTAGTCTTCATATATGTACAAAATTACCAATGTTAATGTTCTAATACAAAAAGTCTTATAAAAGGTTATTTTACTTGTGTTTTTCCTTGCATGTGTCTATCATAACTACCACGTTCTCTGAGCTAAATGTTTTTACAAAGATATACATTCATTGGCCTTCACATGGGTTTGCCAATTTAATCAAAAGGACATAAAAGGACTGGACTCTCCAATCCAAAACCGAACACAAAGTCTTTTCTTGTTTCTCCCCCATTAATGTTCTTTAAAAGATACTGATGCATAAGGAGTAACTTCATGAGCAATACTTTATAGGATATAAAAAAAAATAACAAATTCATAATTCCTCAAACATGGCAACTTGATATTTCATATGCAAAATAGATTCTAAATCTCCACACACATTTGGTAAACAGTTAAACTGCAGTTGGTCGCCCAGGTGGTTTCCATCGCTGAGCACTGCTCGTCTTATCAAAGAGAAGACTGATGTGTTTCACGGTGGCATTTTCAGACATGCAGTTCAGGCACGGAAGTGACGCCATTGTGGAAGGACAAACATTTAAATCACATGCACAATTAAAACCCCTTTCGTTTGGTTTTTTGTTGTTGTTTTTGTAGTGTTTTCTGTCACATTCCTCGAATTCCAGTTCTTGGTCGAAATAATCCACCTCTACCTCCACCTCTAAACAAAACAAAAACTTAAAAAGGCCAGAGCGATTTTAGCTTTCACATCCCTACATGTAAGTCCATGTGATACAAACTTAAGACCACAAATGCTTGGCTACCAGGTCAACGCTGGTTGGGAAACACTGGGGGTGCGAGTTAACACAAACTAAACCTTTTTCCGGCGACTTACGCCCAGGCGGTGGTAGCTATGACATCATCATTTAAAGTACAATCACATTCAGCTGGTTTTACTCTTTGTTTGAGACTCATTCACATCACATAAGCGCACGCAACCCTGATTTAGAGGGCCACGTGTGACTACATACCTTGCATCGTTATGTTTCCCCATATCATAACATAAAATGGACACGACAGCTGTCCGGCTCGGTCAAAAGGAGGACTGAGAAAGGTATATTGCTTTTATATATCCAACACAGAGAGGAAAATCAAAGAGAAAAACTAGTTTGGGGATATCTGCAAAAGCAGATTCTGTTATTTTTAAACAGGGTTACTCTGAACAAGATGACAAACCCTGAAAATTTGAAGGCAGTTTTGGTTTTTACTGTGACTGGGGTAAACGAACAAGCAATAGAGGTTAACTTTCTGCTCCTGCGACAGACGATCACGTCAACGGCTGAAGAGTATATGGCACCTCGACCTCTGAGGTGCGTCTCAGTTTTCGCCAATAAAGGGAACTATGTTTAGTGTGTTAATTGCGTAGAAAATTAGGTATGGAAGAAAGCGTTAGGCGCGATTCTGTCCGTTACAGGAGCAGAGTACGTTGGGACACCCTCAGCAAATTTCCTGAGCAAAAGGTCCTAAGGAAAAACAGCCCTCGTCCTTCAGAAAGGAAGAGCAGACACGTCACGGTTACAAAACTAAATGCTCTTAAGAATAAAAATGGACCTTTCAGTGATGAAGTCGGCCACTTGGTGACCAGGCATCTATACGAACACTCAAAATATTTGATCTAAAATAATACTGCCGTCAGAATAATCACCAAAGAGATGTTCCAGTGCAAGATTGTAACTGTAAATGTTCAACCCCACTAAGCAGAAGAATATCCCAGCTATTGAAACAGAACGTAATTATTCTACAATCAGGAATGACCAACTCCAAAGATTACCTATAAAGAATAATAATTATAATAATAATAAAAATAAAAACACAGCTACAGATTAAAAGGTTTACAATGAAATGAGGCCTTTTAAAAAGTTATTCTCCATTTCCCCCATTTGTAGAGTCTCAAAAAAAACAAAAAAAAACAAGAAAGCTCTCATCTTCCACTAATGGAAGCCACTGTCCCTTTTGTTGTACATGACTCATTAAAATGCATAAAACTATGAAATACTGATAAGCAAGCTAACATAACAAAAATAAAATCCTCACAGTAATATTTGCCAAAGTCCTTAAACCGTTAACACTAACAATGAAGCGGCGTCGCTCTCCGCTTCTAACAGCCGACTGGCAAGGATTTTCTGGCACTAGAAAAGTGAAATCACCAAACATACAGCATGTCAGTCTTCCACTCCATGCAATAACAATTTTTTCTGTCCGTCTCTAAACTCTAGACAATCTGCTTATCTCTCAGCCGAACGAAGGATACGCAAAGTGCCAGCTAACATCCGCATGATTCCTTGCAGCTGCGGACTGTCATTTTCCTACACTCGCCATTCCTACAGGCTCTTTTTTTCCCCTCACAGCTGGAGAGGAAGACTAAAACGGGAGACATGAGGTTTACTAGGAGAAGGCAGGTGGGACGTTGGGTTCTACCAGGGCGGGGTGGATGGCAGGACCTGCGAGAGGAAAGACATGCTTTCCATCGGCCTCATGGCAATGTTGAGGGGACCGGTGATGTTCATTGACATGGGCGAGGTGATGGCGACGGGATGGGCGATGTTCATGGGCGCCGTGGCTGGGATGTTGACTGAGGCGATGTTGACGGGAGCAGTGATGGTGACCGGGTGCTGAAGGCTGATGGGGGAGGTGATGTTGACCGTGTTGGTGGAGATGTTCATCTGAGCGGCGATGGTGACGGGATGGCTGATGGCACCGCGGTTCATGGCCATAGTGTTGGACGCGGTCGAAGAAGTGACTAATGTGGCTGAGGCAGAGTTGCACACATTGTTAGAGTCTGACCGGAAAAAGTGAAAAAGGAAAGAGTGAATAAAACATTGGGGTGATTTCTAGGGTTACACTGTGGTCAAGGCAGAAAAAGCAGGGTTCATTCATAAAGATGGTCTATGGTCAGTGTGAGAGTTTCGGGCTAGTAGCTGTATTGCCACTGAATATTTTACATTTATTGATCTTATACATCTATTTTTACATTTAGTTTACTGCGATGTATTCCACATTGCTGTTGCAAATTTGTCACCAACAATTTTTTCTAGCTGGCTAGAATTTTGTCAAAAATGACTTGTGATAGTCTTGAAAGTGTCAGTGATACCGATTGGTTTGTAAGTTATGTTTTGCATTACATGGCTTTTTTTTTTTTTTAGCAAAAGCTTAACAACATTACCTTGTAAATCTTTGTAAATAATTCTTTTTTTTTTTGTAAAAATGTATTTTTTTTATAAATACTTCTAGTAAATATAATACATTGATAAAGGCAAATGTTTCTAAAGAAAAATTTTTACATTTTCTTTGTAAATAAAATTGTGGACTTTTTGGCAAAAATCTAACATTTTCTGAAAAATATAAATATTTCTAGTAATTAAAAAAATACATTGTTAAAGAAAAATGTTTCTAAAAGATAAATGTTTCATTTTTTTTATTTGTAATGTAACAAGTAACATTTTATGAAAAATATAAATATTCCTAGTAAATTAATTGTAGTAGTATTAAAATACATAATGTGGTGGGACTACTGAAAAGTAAACATCAGAACTGAAGAAAAATCTTTACAGTTGAGGCT